TGGAGAAGATGGAGGGGTGGAGAGATAAAAAGGATAGCAGGGTGGATGGCTGAGTGGGTGGAGGCAGAAGGCAGGCTGGTGGACGGACATAGATGGATGGATGGAAGGATGGAGAAGATGGAAAGGCAGATGGATGGAGGGGATGGAGGGGTGGATGGAGAGCTGGATGGCTGAGCAGTTGGAAGGATGGAGAAGATGGAGGGGCGGATGGAGAAGGCAGAGGTGTAGATGGATGAAGAGGATGGATGGATGGATGGAGAAGATAGAAGGGCAAAGGGATGGAGGGGGTGATGGCATGGCTGGAGAGGATGGAGAGGTGGATGGCTGAGCAGATGGATGGACGGACACATCAGAATGGAAAGAGGAGGTGGGGGAAGATGGGGCAGGCAGGAGCAGGTGAGGCAAGGGGTGTCATAAGATGGGGATGACAGGACAGAGACTGGGTGGCAGTAAGAGGTGGCCCAGCATGGGCAGGATGCTGGTTCCAGTCTGGCAGGACAGAGCAGACCATCCCACGCGTGGCCCAGTGACGTTGCTGCTGCTGGGGCTTCCCTGGTCCCGGGGTGCTGGGACAGGGACACCAGTGGAGCAGCCAGCCCAGGACTGGGGTCAGCTCCCCCCCCGCCTGCCAGCTCCAGCCCTTCTGGGTCTCCCCTGTGCTGTGGGACACAGGGTGAGACCTGGGGCTGGGGGGGTGCCTTGTCCCCAGTGAGGACCCTCCTTCCCGGCACTGGGGAGTGCCCCATGGCCATGGGGTGCTGCAGATGGACCCAGTGGGATGGGGACTTTGGCCACGCTGTTCTGCATGGCTCTGGGGACAAAGATGCTTGGGGTATCCGCATTCTTCCCAAGCATTTTACAGGGTGGGGAGCCCCAGGGGGCTGCGGCTAGGACCCCCCAAGGCCAATATGGGGTGCAGGGAGCACCGGGGGCACAGCGGAGCCCCCAAAAAAGTCCCCAGCTACCCCAAAGATGGGGTGGAGAGGAGCGGCAGGGGAAGGGTTAAGCTGCTGTGTGTGTGTGTGTGTGTGTGTGTGTGTGTGTGTGTGTGCAGCCCCTGAGCCCACCGCCCTCGTGCCCTCATTAAGTCCTGGTGGCACCAGGCTGTCTGGGGACAGCGGGGACAGGGGACAGGGACGGGACCCGCTGCCTTTGTCTCAACTTGTGGCAAAGTTTGAGCGGAGCCGGCGGCGGCGGCTGCCGAGGGGCCGGGAGCTGTGGGTGAGTCTGTGGGGCCGTGGCGTGTGTCCCACAAGGCCCGTGGGATGGGACAGCGATGTCCCTGCGTGGGCTGGATGCCACCCTCGGAGCCGGTGGGGTGATGCCGGCAGCACCCTGAGTGCATCCCGATGTCCTGCTCGGGGATTGGGACTGGAGGGCAGCGGTCAACAGCACCTCCCGACCTCGACCCCAAGCCCGTCCCCAACCCGGTGGCGGTGGCTCTCTCCATCTTGGATCTGACCAGGGCAAGAGGTGGCACCGGCCGGACCGAAGCCCAGGTGCGTGAAAGACGTGTGGGCCCTGCACCCGCTCGGGGTAAGACATGGCGATTTGGGATTTGCAGGCAAACAGGCAGCAAATGTCCTCGGTGCCTCCACCGCACCCCTCCGCAGACCCCCCAGACATGGGATGCGGGAGCCGGGAATGCTCCAGAGGACCCCCCGATCCCACCGGACCCTGGGCAGACCCGGGGTGGCTCCAGCTCCGAAGCCGCCATCGGTGCCGGACGGGCATGGGGAGGGCGAGCGAGGACACCGGGGCGGAGAGAGGACGTCGGCGCGTAGGCTGAGCCCTGCTTCGTTAGCTTGGGCTCAGCCCTGCTTCATTAGCTCTCGCCCAAGCCCCGCTTCGTCCGCTCAAGCATCCCGTGGGTGCCGGGGGTCGCCGGCTGCCGTGCAGGACCCAGCTCGGGAGGCAGAGGAGGGAGAGGTGGGAGGAAGGCCCCGCTATGGCAGCCGGGAGCGGGTTTATTCTGCTCTGCCGCCCTCGGCGCCGGCGTGGAGACTCTGATCTTGGAGTGGCTGAGATATATTTTGGGGGTCCGGATCCGTCCCGCTGGCCGTGGGTTGGAAAATGGGCTGCGGCAGTGGGTGGGCTGGGTGCGGCGCTGAGCCGGGGACCAGAGCCAGCACCGGCTCCGTCCCGGGGACACCCTGCATGGAGGAAGAGGCCGGTGAGCAGCAAAATGGGGCTTGGGGTGATGGTGGGACGGGGTCAGCAGCTGCCCAGCTTTGGGGGG